TATAACCTTAACCTACATTATATTGTGTTTGGGTATATTGAATTTTTTTTATAATTATGTTGACAAATTGACACTAGTGATCAGTACAAGAAGTCCAGATTCCTTTTTCGATTTCCAGATCATTTCCTTTCATTGATTTCATTTTTCTGATTTCACTGTTTGATTTGATGAAATAAAAATGTCAAATGTCAAATGTCAAATATATATATATATATATATATATATATATATATATATATATATATATATATACATATATATATATATATAATTAACCAACAATGGCGCTTAACCAACAATGAAAACAAAGAAGTAATAAAAACTAGCATTGTAAATAGTGACAAAAAAGAATATGATGCTATCGATGAAGAAAAGGAGACCAAAGAAGATGACCAGCCAATAAAGAAACCTGACACCTAATTTCCATTTAAGTTCATTTTGACAAAGTCAATATTTCCCTATATAACATCAAAAAGCACTGATGATGATTCATTCGGAATCAAAATATGGCCTTATTTGCAGCATGAATTCGGAAAATAAGTTTATTTTGAATTTTAATAAACTAAACGTTCACCAAAAAACTTTAGTGGGAAAAATTGAAAAAACAAACTACAAACATATTAACGCCAAACATTCGGTAGAATTTATAGAATATTGTAAATATATGTATATATATATATATACAGGTGTGTGTATGTGTGTGTGCATATATGTGTGTATGTTTATATCATGTTTGTATATATGTTAATACGCATGTCTGTATGTATAGGATGTACTTGTACAATGCATCATTTCACTGAAGCGTGGTCGTCTCTCTCGAGCACACGATGAAATGAATGCATGGATAGTTAATGCCATACGCTGGTGATGCTCTGACGGCTTGTTTGTATGTTTGTTTGTTTGTATTCATGTATGTTCTAGATGTATCAGATGTATTAAATGTGTATATTAGAGTACACACACACACACACACACACACACACACACACACACACACACACACACACACATATATATATATATATATATATATATATATATATATATACATTTATGAAGTAACATCATTGCGTTGCATCGCATTATTTTATCGTTCAATCCGTTGGAAATGACATTTGTCGAAATTGTTAATTTTTTTTAAATTGAGGAAAAATTTTTCTGAAGATTTGTGACTGAACGGACCGCGTTTAATTCATATAATATGACGAGGAGCCTTTATAAAGGAGGTTCCTTATTTTGCGTTTCTATAGAAGAGTTCAATTTAAAGTCGTACTTATAAATTAATTATTATTAATTAATTGTAAATTTTATTACTGCTTCTACATAGAATCCTTGTTGAAAATAGCTGGCCTGAAGTTGCACCTATAGAAGATTCATTTCACACACACACACACATGCACACACACAGACACCACACAAACACACACACACGCGCAGACAACATTGATGGAGTGACATTATGTTTAGGTTGGATATTTTGATCACACAGCTCTGTGTGGCATCACTTCATGTGAAGTATCGTGACAAACATTCAACTGAATCCAAAAAAAAATTAATTTTTAACTACAAATTTCTCTCTTAAATTGTGTCAAAACATTTCAACCTGGCTGTAACATCAGCATTAGCACATAAGACTTGAAACCAAACTTATTATTCCTGTACATATTTTAGCATCGGATAAGTTTTTGTAGAGAATATTGCTTACTTCCATCAAGTAAGGAACATGCTTCTACCTGCATACTTCCCGGCCATATTTTATTTTTGTTTCGCGATTGTATTTTCTACGCCATCCTCTGCGAACGAACCAGGTGAGATGCGATGAATAATTATGTTTATTATTTTTTTTATTAATACTATTTATTATTATTATTATTACTATTATTATTATTACTACTATTATTACGTAACGTTGATTTGTGTCGTCTGCATGAATTTATCAGTTTCTTTGATTCACTCATTACGAAAATGACAAATTTAAAAAAATCTCTCTGCAATTACTTCAACGAATGCGCGCGTGATTGCCCGCACCACACAAATTGCATGCTCTGGATGGGTGTGATAGAACGATTTGCCGCGGATCATGAGTTCAAAACTGTGAAGTCAATTAACAATTTATGTTTGAAAATGAAAGTTTAGATGAATAAGTTTAATGTGAGATTAAAATCTCCGTCAGAATGCAGTAACCTCTCAGGCGATGAATCGTGTGAGAACGTGGCAATGGTGGGCGGTTGCTTCACAAACTTCCTTGGAAACATTCCACAGTTCTGTCAGAAATCGTGCACGGGCTGCCAGGCCAACACGGGTTAGTCTCATGGAGTTATATATTTTTCGAAAGTTGTTTTGATGTTGCTATCACGAGTTGCTTCAACTCAAATTATTATCCAATGAGCTTCTTCATATCTTACATCTTCACCTAATTTCTAACCAAAATCTGTTTTTGCCTCTTTTTTTATAAACAAAATTTGACAGCTTGGAAAAAATTGTGGAAGGTTTTACTTTT